AAGATAGAAAGAAACTGCATCTTTTGAAGATGCAGTTACAGAGTCACACCTTGGCAGTACCTTGTAGGAATTGGGCAGGGTTTTTCAAAAGGCTGAATGCACTTTGAATTAGCACCCACTATATGGTACTGTGTCCCTGATAGCCAGGATTAATGGGTCCAGAAATCAAGGAGTACAAGTGAAAATGTATGACTGACCATTACCCCTAGTGATCTAGGGGTTTTTGATTTTTCTTCCAGCAACTTTATTCTCTGCCAGCTTAGAAGCAGAGGGGGATACTTGTACAGCAAGCACAACAATGATACCATCGAACTGGAAGCTAAGACTTCTCCCTGGTCATTTGGTCTCCTTCTTCCTCTGAACAAACAGGTTAAAAAGAGAGTAATGGTGTTGACAGGGGTAATTGACCCAGACTATCAAGAGAAATTGGACCACTACTCCACTATGGAGGAAAGGAAGAATATTCTTGGAGGGCCGGTGATCCCTTAGGGCACCTCCTAGTATTACCAGGCCCAGTTATTAAGGTCAGTGGAAAACTACAAAAACCCAATCCAAGTAGCATGACAAAGGGCCCAGAACCTTCAGGAACCAGAGTATGAGTCACTACACAAGAGAAAGAACCTAGACCTGCTGAGGTGCTTGCTGAAGGCTACAGGAATACAGAGTGGGTATCAGAGGAAGGTATTTCTAAATGCCAGCTGTAGCTCCATGATCAGTTACAGAAACCAGATTATACAGTTCTCTCCTAAATATGCTTCATATGTAAAATAATGTTGACAGACTTAATGTTGATTAAGTATTGTTAAAACTATATGATCATGTTCAAGTTATGAAATGTTAGGAGTAAGCATCACCCAAAGAAAACTTGCCTCCTATTTTGGGGAAGGAATTAGTGCATTTCCATTTACATGCAGGATAGTTGTAACATGCTGGGGACTTGCCTTTGTGTCTGGATACTAAGTATGGTTTAAGGAAACATATTTGGTTGTTACATTGACAAGGGGTAGATGAGATAGTTAACTGATTGTGTCAATTTAAATAATAAAAATCCAACTAAATTAGATCAGAGTAGTTCTGGGTATGGTTGAAGGGATTTACAGAAGACAGAAGAGTCACCCTGGGTGTGAGTAGTACTAACCAAAAGGCTTGTCACTTGATTGATAAAAGGGAAACAAAAAGGGAAGTCTGTTTTTATTTCTTCAGAGGAGATCCAATCTTCACTTTCATGTTTGATGTTGTCTTGATGTGTCCAGCACAGACCTCATCTTTTTAGCACAGATTCTTCAGTCCTTCAACTTAGACCGTTTGGCCTCCTGATATGGACTTTAAGAGACACTACATTGAGCTTCAGATCTTTGACTGGATCCTTCAGATCCCCAGTATACAGACAGCCCTTTTGTACTCTTCCATACCTGTCTGTGTATATATCCAATGTATAAGCCTATTTTATAAATAACTATATATTAATTAAAATGTTTCTCTAGTAAGCACCAACTGATACAGTAGGATGGTTGTATCACATGAGGCTGAATTATTAGTTTATTATTGTGTTTATTTAGAGATTAAGATTGATTTAAGGAGATGCCACATTGCTAAGGGGTGGATTGTGATCATTAACAGTGATATGTCAACTTGATTGGATTAAAATATCTAGCAGATTAGTAAATCACACCTTTGAATGTGTCCAGGTAGATCATGGAGGTGTGATCTTGCATGCTAAACATGGCCCCTGGCCTCATCCTCTACACTGCCATTTCCTTGTCCTATTTCATTGCACATGAATCAAGAAGCTTTGTTGTGCCGCACCCTTCTGCCATAAATGCTGTATTGGAGCTGATCATTGACTGAATCCTCCAAACAGTGAGCCAAATTAAAGCTCTCCTCTTTTAAATTGTGGGTTTGGGTATTGTATCTCAGTGACATGAAAGCTAACTAATACAGAAAGAAAGCTGATGGAAAGGTTACTCAAAATGCATAACAGAATGGACATAAATAGCTAATTTAAAAAATCCTATTAGAAACTTCTTGTAAATCATGCTTGAATTTCAAAAGCACCAGAAGGGGTAAATATGGTTAGGTATTTATCATTGTACAATTTTAAAATGTACCAACTCTAATAAGTGTTCTGTCATTCTTACTCTGAGGAATGTAAGAAATAGCTGATAAAATAGGTAACTCACTTTTAGAAGGGTCAATTTAAAATGTTTAAATTACCAGGAATGTGTACATCATAAAGTAAGACTTAGAAGACAGTACTTACTTATGAGTAAAGGCTTATTATTATTATTATTTTAGAGTGGTCATGGTACTGGAGATGGTAGGAATTTTGAGGAAGATTTTTTTATATTCCTAATTATATGGATACATCTTTCCCAATTTTTGGTTTAAATATAAACCAATAATTTAGGACACAAAAAAGTGCTTCTAGTTTGTTCCTCCTGGAGATATTCTTCATAGAACTGATCGGTGTCCATACATATTACACAGTTGCAGTTGAACCTATGCAATCACCTCGAGAGGATCATCTTGGCTCCATTATGTTGGATAAGTGCCATTTGTATAACTTTTCCTTGGATAATTTCCCTTTGTCTTACTGTGGGACTCATAAATCCAAATGCAGAGGGAGAGATTTTAGAAAATAATGTATACCCATGGATGACTGCTATTTCAAGATACTTTCAAAGGATGATAATGTTTTTAAACTTTGAAGATGCATTTGGAATTTAGATTATTTATATATCAATGAAGAGAATGCACTGCTTATCAATGAGGCTGTTTTAAAATGTTGAGGTCATGAATAAGAATGTTTCACACTCCATAAAATACTTCTTCTGAAGTATAAGTTAACTGGAAGGGAATATTAAAATATGTTGGATTTTTCTTTTCTTTTCTTTTTTGTCCTTTTGAGACAGGGTCTCGCTGTGCAGTTCAGGCTGGCCTTGAGCTCACTTTGTAGCCCAGGCAGGTCTCTAACTTGCAACGATCCTCCCACCTCAGCCTCTCAAGTGCTGGGATTACAGGCGTGAGCCACCATGCCTGGATAAGATTTTTCTTTTGTATTCAATACTGACGTAATTCTTTGTACAGTAGAATGTGAGAGAAAATGACCCATTTCCTTCAATGTGTTTTACTTATAATATTAAATGTTTATAAAAATATATAGAGAAATGATTTGTTCTTTCATTTATATCTTATTCAATTCTGGGTTTTTTGTTTCACCATAGAAATCTGATAGCCTAACTGGTTATAGAATAGTTAAATATCATGTGCTGAATGTGAGTCAGAAGCATTCAGAAATGAGTGTACAGCTGTATATTATTCCTAGAAAATATACAATGTCAAGAATCAAATAAGACTTAGAGATGGTTTCTTCAGGATTTCTAAATTTCAACAAAATAGTTTTACCCTGAATAATGGGAAATTTAGTCTTAACCAAAATGAAACTTGGCAGTCTGTTACTTTCTATATGAAAAACAACTGCTCAAGTCAATTATATAATTGTGCAGTGCAATTTTGCTTTTGTCATACATTATAAATTCAATTCCACTTTAAAGTGAGGCCACTGTAGGATTTAGGTAAGTTTAGTGCTTCTGTTATGTCTTTATTGTTGTAGTTACAACTAAACAATATAACAGAAAAGAATGAATGAATGAATGAATGATTTTGTGTTTGTGTTTCCTAGCTTCTTAGGAATTTACTTTGGGTAAGTTAGTAGATGACAGGTTGATTATGATTTGGAGAACCAATCAAAAAGGTGTTCTCAAGAATATTTAGCCTGTTTTGAAATGAAGAGCATAGTAGGGAAGGATAATTGTTTCCTTAAATTAGATTTATTTTTCTCTAAGTAAAAAGATAAAATTTAATACTAAGATTAGAGAGAATCAGTGAAATCTAAAAGTGATTATGTGGGCCTTTTTATTGTCTCTCAATGGTTTTCTGCTTTGAGAGAAGTGAGATTATGGTCTCATTGGACTGGCTTTTGTGAAGCAGTGCAGAATGTTCTCTATCTTGTCATGTTGGCAAAGGAAATTACCCCTGTGCCATGACTGTCAGAATGATACAGCACTTCTGAGAAAAGGGATTACTGCCTTATTAAAGATAGGTAGGGGTGAGGAATGCCAAATGTTGAATGCGATTTATTGAATACCATACAAACACAGTGGAAGAATTCAATGCATTTCAGCTGTGAGAAAATGAAAGTATCGATGAAAAAAAAATGTACAAATGGAAAATAACATTTTCTGGATCTTTAAGAGACAAAGGGATGAAGTCTAAAATAAATTAAAACTCCTAAGAAAGTTATACAATTTAATATCAGGAAAATTTTGTTAATTTAAATGGGACATATATTCTTTATAGTAAAGAATAGCTGAGACATGACAATTCTCGTGATCTGTCTGACTTGTTATCTGTGATTTTGTTTCCTTTTACTCAGTTTTTGAAGGTGTGTAATTTATGAATGTACAGTTGTACTAATCTTCTCTAAAATTCCATTGTTCAAATATCTTAGAACTTCTCATTAACATATTACCTTTCAAAATGTGGGGCATAATATTAAAATATAAGCACCACATTTAATATAAAATATTTTGTCATTTTTTAGAACATATCATGACTCTTGTTTGGAATTGTTAAAACATTTGCTTTATAGTAATTTTACAGAGTAGACTCAATAATGTTGTCTATCTTAAAAAGTGACTCACATAAATGAAGAAAAAGCTTTTAGTTCCTTCACTGAACAATTTCATGCTTTTCTGCAAATGTCATCATTGAATCATTCAGGTGGCCTAACAAGCACTTACAAAACCCTGAAAAGTCATTATTTACTATTATTAATCGATAATCTTCTTATATTTCTTGTCATTTGTATAATGAATTTATATTGTGTCATAATGTTACAGATGGAGAAATTAAGAGATATAATGAAGTGCGAATTTAGGAGCATAAGTTACAACAATAAATAAGAGTAAATTTTGGAAAACTTCAAAGTAAAGCTACTAAGACTCATTGTAGATTAGAATGAGCACTGTCAATTGGTGTCCAAAATTGGTTAAAGTGGCTAAAATTGAGACACAGGCCATGTTTCCATTGCAGTAAATGCTTACAGTGGTGACAATGAGATCTGTGACATTTTACCTAATAATGAAAAATGTTGACTTTCAATATTAGAAATGAATTATTAAAGAATCATATAGAATGTAGATCACGTACCAAAATACCACTACTATGTACAACTCAAACTCTAGACTCCCAAAATGTAAATTGCCAGAAGAAATTTGGATATAAGATCCCAAGAATTTTGAAGTTGTCATTGTCCATAATTCAAGTACAGATAAAAGAATTTTGACAAGGCAGATGGAATGACTGGATTAAGCATCAGTTCTTTTTTTTTAATATATATTTTTAAATTTTATTTAAAAGGAAAAAAAGAAAAAACAAAACAAAACGAAACAGTGTAAGGGTACAAGTAATACAGAATTACAAAAAAAAAAAAAAAAAACCAGTAAGAAATCACTAGTTAATAGATTACATATTGTCATCTTAGAAATAGTTGTTCAAGTTACAGGATTAAAGCATACAAAGTGGACATTCAAACAGTGAGACTGCAAACAGTTGTGTTCAATGATCCAACAAAAACTCAGTAATATGGTCATCTATCTTAACACACCTAAACACACTTGCAGTTGTATCCTTTAGAGCACTTTTTTCCTCTCTTTTTTATGACAAAATTTACACATTTTGGGTTTTATTACTCACATAGTTCTTATTACTTTTTTGGGAAGAGAATAAAACCAAATATGACAAAACAGTCAGTCAAAACCAAGGATAGACATAGCACATGATGTGAAAACAGAATACAAGGTTATCAACAATGGTTACCTTAATGCCTCTTGCTTCCTTAAAAAGAATTGCCTATATCATTAGGCAAAATAAAGTTGAACAAAACAGTACAGAATAAGACCGATAAAACCTAAACATGGTAAACATTACAGGAAACATCAGTTCTTTAAAAAGGGCTATCTTTAAGGTAAAGGACCTCCTTTTTTCAATCCAGAGAGGTTGCACTGGGTGAGTTCCAGCACACTAGTGTGGGCCCAGGGAAAGTTTAAAATCATCACTCCCAGTGGTTAAGTGCCTTCTCAGTTTCCAGCCACACTAGACTAGGCTCAGCAGCTTTCATGGATCTAACTGGGCCATGCCCAGTGACCTTCATTATATCAGAGGAGCTGAGGGTCTGTGAAGTGAGTTCCAGCCCATCGGTGCTGTACCAGGGAGAGCTTTGAACCATCACCCACAGTGGTTAGGAGCCTGCCCAGCTTCCTGGAACACCAGAGGTGATAGGGGAGATCCTGTGGGCCTGACTGGATCACACTCAGCAACTTCCATTCAGTTCCAGGAGCTGAGGGCATAGGAGGTGATTTCCAGCACACAGAGGGGAAGCTTTGGAACATCACTTGAAACACAGAAATATAGGAAAATGACAAGACAAAATACCAAAATGCAATCTCAAACCCCCAGCCCATCTCAAGAAAGCCTAGGATCCATGTAAATAGAGGAAAATACAAGCCATACACCTGAAATACCTGAAATAATAGCAATTGAAATAAAGAAGCAACTTTGTAAAGCTATAAATGAATTCAAATTAGAAATAATCTCTCAGGTAAAAGAAGAAATGATAAAAGTAATGAAAGAAATGCTGAACACATCTAAAGAAGACACATTAAAAAATTAGAGGAACAATGCAAAAAGTTAGAATCCTTGGAGAAACAATATAAGAAATAAATAGAATATATGAAGCAGATTCAAAGAGATATACAGGAAATCAAAAATTCCATTGAAAGTTGTCAAAACTGCCTCAGCAAAAGTGAAGACAATTTCAGACCTCAAAGACAAGATTTCAGCTAGTGAACAGAAAAGGAAAGATCTTTTATAATAACAAGGAATCGGCAAATAGTTCAACAGCTGCAAGATGAAGCAAAGAAACACAATATAAGATTGATAGGGATAAATGAAAAAAGAGGACAACACAAATGATATCAAGCAGTTATTTACAGAACTAATAGCTGAAAATTTCCCAAACATAAGAATGGAAACTGACATACTGATTAGTGAAGCATATAGGATTCTGAATAGCCATAAACAAAATAAAACTACACCCAGACATATAATAATCACCACCCCAGAAATCCAACATAAGAATAGAATATTAAAAGCTGTCAGAGAGAAAAGACAGATCACCTATAAAGGAAAATTTATCACAGCAGACTTCTCAACACAAACAATGCAGTCAAGAAGCGTATGGAGCAAAGTATTTCAGATCCTAAAGGAAAATGACTTTCAACCTAGACTGATGTACCCTGAAAAACTGTCCTTCAAAATGGATGGAAAAGATACTTCCATGACAAAATGGATAAGATACTTCCATGACAAAGAACAGCTGAAGAACTTCATGATCATCAAATGAACATTGCAAAGAATACTGAAAGATATTTTAGATACACATAGGAAAAAACCACTAAGCAAGGCAGACAATTAAACAGAATAGAAAGGTAAAGATACAACAGCATAAAGATAACATGTCAAAAAAAAGATAACATGTCAACAATAAATCAATATATAACAGTTATAACCATTAATGTAAATGGTCTCAATTCACCAATTAAAAGAAACAGACTGGCAGAATGGATCAAGAAACAACATCCAATCATATGCTGTCTACAGGAAACCCATCTAACCCAAAAGAAAACTCATAGACTGAAAGTCAAAGAATGGAAAATGATAGATCATGCAACAGGAACCCCATGCCCCCCCCCCCAAAAAAAAAGCAGGGGTAGCTATTCTGTTTGCAGACAATGTGAACTTCAAACCAAGAATGATCAGAAGAGATAAAGAAGGTCGTTACATATTGGTTAGGGGAAAACTTCAAGAGGAAGAGATAACAATCTTAAATATATATGTACCTAATTCCAGAGCATCCAGTTACGTAAAGCAAGTATTAATAGAAATGAAAAACCAAATTAACAATAACACAATTGTAATAAAAGACCTTAACACACCATTGACACCAAGAGACAGATCAACCAGACAGAAAATCAGCAAAGAATAACAGAACTGAATCACACCTGTGAACAAATGGATTTCATAGATGTATACAGAGTTTTCCATCCAACCACATCAGAATATGCATTCTTTTCAGCAATACATGGGGCATTCTCTAAAATAGACCACATACTAGCCCATGGAACATAAGTAAATGCAAAAGGATTGAAATTATCCTATGCATGTTTTTAGATCATAGCACCATGAAACTAGAAACTAATGATAAAAGAAACTGCAAAACTCCAGAAATACAAGGAAATTGAATAATTCACTCTTGAGCAATCAGTAGGTCATAGAGGAAATTAAAGAAAAATTAAACAATACCTACAAGCAAATGAAAATATAAATACAACTTACCAGTATCTGTGGAAAGCAATGAGAATGGTCCTAAGAGGAAAATTTATTGCACTGAGTTCTCACATCAGGAAAACAGAAATAACACAAACAAACAACCTGATGCTATACCTCAAACATCTAGAAATTAAGAGCAGGTCAAACCCAAAGCCAAAAGAAGGGAGGAAATTAAATCAGAGCAGAAATTACTGAAATATAGATTAAGAAAACATTCCAAAGAATCAATGAATCAAAGAGTTGGTGCTTTGAAAGAATAAATAAAATTGATAAGCCCCTAGCCAACCTTATTTAAAAAAGGAAAGAAAAACTCAAATTCATGCAATAAAGAATGAAAAAGGTGAAATCACCAGACTGTAGAAATACAGAAGATCATCAACACCTATCTCAAAAACCTCTATTCTCATGGATTCAATAACACAGAAGAAATGGACAGATTCCTAGAAACATATGAAGTACCAAATTTGGGTCAAGAAGATGTAAAACTCCTGAATAACCCAATTTCTGTCAATGAAATTGAAAATGTAATTAAGTCCTTACCTACAGAGAAGAGCCCAGGCCCAGACAGATTCCCTGAGGAATTCTACAAGCAATACAAAGAAGACTTACTGCCAACATTCCTCAAAATCTTCAATGAAATTGAAAAGGAAGTAATTCTTCCTAAGTCATTTCTGGAAGCAAATATTATTCTAATACCAAAACGTGAGAAAGACCCAACTAAAAAAGAGAACTATAGGCCAATCTCCCTAATGAATATAGATGCAAAAATACTCAATAAAATACTAGACAATAGAATGCAGCAAATCATCAAGAAGATTATACACCACCCCCAAGTGGGATTCATCCCAGGCATATAGAGATAGCTCAACATACATAAATCAATAAATGTAATCCATCATATCAATAGAGCCAAAAGTAAGAATCACATGATAATTTCTATAGATGCAGAAAAAGCTTTTTATAAGGTACAACATTCATTCATAATAAGACTCTTACAGAAAATTGGAATAGATGGTCTTTACCTCAGTATGATAAAGGTCATCTACAAGAAACCAACAGCCAGTATCATATTAAATGGCCAACAAATTAAATGCCTTTACCTTAAAATCAGGCACAAGACAATGATGTCCCTTATCACTGCTCCTATTCAACATAGTACTAGAAATACTAGCCAGAGCAATTAGACAAGAGAGATAAATAAAAAGAGTAAAGACAGGAAAAGAGGAAGTTAAGTTATCATAATTTGCAAATGACATGATACTCTACATATAAGACCCCCAAAACTCCTTTGAAAGACTCCTAGATATAATAAATAAATTCAGCCGTGAAGCTGAATACAAAGTCAATACTCAAAAATCAATAGCATTTCTATTCACTAACAACAAAATCACTGAGAGAGAAATAAGAGAAGTCATACTCTTCACATTAGCATCCAAAAAACTGAAATACTTAGGAATTAATTACATGAAAGAAGTAAAAGATCTATGCAGGGAAAATTATAATACCCTGAGAAAAAAAATCAAAGAGGCGCTCAGAAAATGGAAGGACATCGCTTGTTCCTGAATAGGAAGAATAAATATTGTGAAAATGGCCATTCCCCCCAAACTGTTATACAGATTCAATGCAATCCCAATGAAAATACCACTATCATACCTCGTAGATCTAGAGAAATCACTCCTAAA